CAGCTAGTGTTCTCTCTTGCTGTTAACTATCTACCCAGTTTCTCACTCTATAGGCCTCAGCCCCGGCTTAGACATCTCACTGCTGGCCTCCAGTTGTTGTGCTGCAGTGACACTGGCGCTGCCCTCTCCATCTGTCTGTATGCGTTTCCCTTCTGCTGTCCTGGGCTCAGGGTCTCCCATGTGACTGACAAGGGGCACATGTGTTAATCCTCAGAGAGGGCTCTTCTTTCAGGGCAGTGTCTGCTTTTGTCTGCTGCCCCTTAAACAGACTGTATCCTGCTATTTATGTTTAAAAGACCTAGGGTTAAAAATTGAGTGTATAATGCAAGGAAATTACTACAGGCTTCTCATTTAATAGTGCTTCTTACCATTGTAAGTGTTTTTTTAACCTTTTGTTGTAGTATCACCCTTGTCAGACTCATAGTTAGAAATATTGTATATGTTACATATAAGACAAGCTCATTATTTATGAGAGCAACAGGTAAGTCGGCTGTGTAGTGAAAATTGTAAAACTGGGGGGTTAAATTAGAGGTAGGGTTGCTGACTGTTACCCTGGGCTAATTAGAAGAAAATTCTGGTGAGTAACTGCAGTGTAGCTTGTGGTAATGCTGGGTGATGCCATTTCCTAGATTACTGTCTCCCAATCCGGTCCTGGGGTACCCACCAAGGGAGGGAGCAAAAATGTGGGCCCTCTGGTAGAGAGCTGGGAGGGAGCAAAAATGTGGCCTGTCTGACAGGGAGCTGGGAGGGAGCAAAAACACTTCTAGATGGACGGATCACCCCACAGTTCCTCCTGGCTCAGCTGTGGCAGTTTGAGCCAGTAGAAGATATCATTCCACCCCCCCCAGGTCCAGGCTTTGGACTAATGAGTATCCCGATTCCTGTTTTGACCCCTCCCCCCATGTTCCATGTCCAGCAGCTGCAGTGTACAGGCAGACCGCACCCTCTGGACTTTGTATTTGCAGCTCTCAGGTCTGTGCTGCCCAGACGCACGTTTGCTGCCTACTGGTGACTCACGTCTTCTGGGAGCTGCACTACACACTGCGCCCTGTTGACATTTTAGGTTTTATTTTTGAACGTCTTAGAGAGTGAATGTTTACTTAAGGAGGAGACATGGTCAAGTCTTCAGACCTATGACGCGTACAGTAAAACTCCTCCTTGTGCTTGAAAGTGTGTGTGGCGGGGGGGGGGGGGTTGCTGGTAAATTAGAATCCCAGAAATTACTGTTTGAAACAGGAATTCTGGGAGTCTGGATTTCAGGAAGCTTTGACCCCCTTGTGTGACCTATTGTATCTGTGCTCCTGTTATTCTGATGTGGTGCCATTTGTGACTGCGTCTCCAGTCTGGCCAGTTTGGGCGCGGAGCTTCCTGTGGGAGAGATGGGCAGCAGTTCCTGGCCACTTTCTGCTTTGCTCACTCTTCTCTGTGACTTTATGTTCTTACCGCCCAGAGCGTCCTTTTGCCGTCTTTGATGCACCTTCTAGAATTGACTTTAGATCCATTACCTTTCAACAGCTGCTTTGCCTAATAGTTAATATGTATTACTTATGACTCAGAAGTTAGGTAGACATGCTTTATGGACCGGACACATGAGGAGTGTTTGTGGATATCGATGTGCGTTTTTTTATGCGATATCAGAGGAAGCGTTTTCCTAGCTTTTGTAGGAAGCACAGTCCTCACTGAAGCAGTCTGGAGAGGGAGTCTGTTGCCATAGAGACTGCTCGACCAGTCAGAGTGTGAGGGCTGTGTCACTTTTGTGCACCGTGTCGCCCCAGCCCTTGGCTGCTTAGGGGTCAGTCGAGGGAAGGGGACACAGAGGAGAGCATTGAAGAGGCTTGGGTGGGGTAGTTCTGGTCACAGCTGCATGAAAGGAGCGGCCTCTTAGCGTGTGAGGGGGTGGTCTGTGCTACCAAAATAGCCCGTGCCTGAGTCTGTGTTTTAAGGGCTTTGTGTATGGGAAAGGGTGTTGCAGATTGAAGTTTGATCATGCATTTATTAACTTGATGGTTGTTTTGTTCCCATGTTATGTTTATTCTAGACTGGCGTAAAGGTCAGCCCATTTTCTCAGGTCAGAATTAACAGACTGTCCAAGCTCTGTAGGTAATATTGCTATGGAAGGATCTGAGAAAAGCACGCATAGTGCAGATCTGGCAACCCATCACTACAGCGATGTCCAGAAGACACAGATGGAGGGATGTGAAAAGCCTGTGGGTGTCGAAGGCTCACATGGGGGAATGTATGAATGATTTCAGAAGGACAGCACAGATGTAGGGGAATTCCAGCTGATAAAGCCAAACAAATGACTCCAGAGTTGGGAGAAGCATCTCAGCATGCATGCTGGTTTCTGCCGCTGTCATTAATCCTCACCAAGTGGTAGCAACTACTGGGCTCGTGGCTTCGAATTGCATGTGTAGCTCTTTTTGGGTAATGGTGCTTACCAGATGCGTGTTCTTCATCGCGAAGGCAGCTAAGCCACTTAGACACGTCAGGGAAAATGTATCCCTTTGGCCCAACAAACCCTGTGGTGTATGATGCAGTCTTTCCTTCTAATTAC